GGGAGGTTTAGGTTGGACATTAGGAAAAATTGGTTCACCAAAAGGGTTGTCAAACATTGGAACAGGCTGCCCAGGGGAAGTGGTGGAGTCACCATCCCTGGAGGTGTTCAAAAAGACATGTTGATATAGTGCTTCTAGACATGGTTTAGTGGGCATGGTGGTATTAGGACAGCAGTTGGACTTGATAATCTCAGAGGTCTCTTCCAACCTAAAGATTCTATTCTAAAGATAGGAGATTTATAATGAGACTTTCAGCAAGTATAAGAATGAGACTCCTTACCTTTTTCTTCACTAATGCTTCTCTCTCCCTATCTCTTTTCTTCCATTCTTCTGCAAGTACTTGCATATGGGCCATTTCCTTCTTTTTAAGCTTTTAAAAGCAAAAGAAAAAAACCCCCAAACTACAAAATCAAATCAAAACTGTTGGAAACGCAACTTTAAAGGAGAGAGTACTAGCAGAACTAAGCCCTGAAACAAACGAATTAAAAACTAGATTTTGTACATTTACTTACATAACTCAAGGTACGATTCTGGTAGCAAAGGTATTTCTTACCCTTAAGTATGAAATGCAAAGTGAGCCCAAGTTTGAGAAAAATATCTTAACAAATAGATATGATTTTCAGCATCTTTTAAAAAGAAGCATGTGACTAAGAACACCTAGAATGACTTCAAGAGTAGGAGTACAGTAATGGATTTTGACAGAGAATAAAGAAAAGCAGTGTTAATATTTAAAACCAAAAATTTAAATCTTTAATCTCTGTCATACTTCATAAACCACAGGAGGAAATTGTGAAGGTGGTATTCTGTATTCCACTACTAGAACCTACTTCAGTCTCTTAAAGAATTAACCTTCTTCCTTAAGAGTATGGAAGATATTTGTGTACATCTGAAGTTTTAATATTCTATATGAGAAAATTTAGTTCTTATTTGAAACGGTGGCAAAGTTTAAGAAAAATGCAGTTAATACTCCCCTCACCAATTCTGCTAAAGCTTTGCTGGCAGTCATGCAGTTTAGGAAACAGAAAGAGTCAAAACCTGATTTTCAAAAATGTCCTCTTGCATTTCCTTCCACATTTCTAACTCCAATGCTGCCTTGTATTCAAGAGTTTCTCGAGGTTCTGGATGGATTTCTGGAGCACAATGAGGCTGAGTGTGAGGGACATGTCGTTGCTGACCAGCACCTACACACTGATACAGTAACAGTGTATTTTTAACTGGAAACCAAACTTTTCCAAGAAGTGTTCAAGGAAAAAGGGTAAGACTTATGTAAAATTTACTTGAGATGAATCTGACACCAGAACTTCTTGCATTTTAACAAGCCCGTAGTCTTCCAAAGTGATAGCATATGAAAGCTCTGCTATTCTGCTGCCTGACCTATAAAGAGCATTAAAATGTTAATGAAAACTGTCTTAAAAATACAGAAAGTGATTGTAAAACAACACACAAACCAGCAAAGTTGAAGTGCTAAAAGGTTCCATGTAAGCTCAAGAGACTCTAAACAGTTGCCTACATGACACCCCGAACATGCTCTCCCATGTATATTTTTTATAAATTAGAGACTGATTTATACATCTACAGTAAGCTTTCTGACTTTAACAGATAACTTGTCTTGGGAACCTATTCATCTAACAGCTTACTATAATCAACACATACCTGTAACAAGAGAATGATCCAAAATTGTACCTGCAGACTGAAATCTAACAAATATACCTGTTGAATACAGGTATTGCTGCTGACTTCGTTCTAAGAAACTCAATGAATTTCATCCGTCTTGCTTTTTTAAGTGTTAACAGTAACTTCCTAATTATCTGCAGTACTACAAGTCACTTAGCATAGCATGCGTGGTAAACTATCCCTTGGATTACTGAAAAACCACATTTGTGGAAGCTTCAGCACAGAGAACCAACAACTTTAAATCCACTTATAGGTTAAATAACTACCTGCTTTTGTACAGTGAAAAAAGTCTAGATAAGAGATATTAATAAACTAATTGGAAGTTAGTTGTAGTTTCTGATTAAGTAGAATCTGTTTGTCTCTGGCTGTCTCATTTACAATCATAAATAATATTTAGTAAAGATAGTTTTCTGCACAAAAAGATATTAAGAGAAGGAATATGCACAAGTCACATTACTGAAAGTTATCACTAGTCTAACATGAAAGCACACTGCAATGTAGACCTGTACTTGGTCAGAAACAACACTATCATTTCAGTTATAACTACTCAATGATGCAAAGGCAATTACACAATTACTTGAAGCCTGGAAGCTGCAGAATTAGGTATCAAGCCATCTGTGTCAAAATTAGGAAGGAATTAACCATGGCTGTAGTTTTCACAGAAATTGTCTTCCAGCAAATATAAAAAGACAACTCTAAAATATTTTTATAAATGTGCAATACTCTACACAGTTATTTACAAGGCAGGAAAAACAAACCAAACCAACAAACATTTGTATTTCACATAAGTTAACATAAATTACTGCATTACATTCTTACAACTTTCTATCAGCCACTGATTAAAAGACAAAACAAGATTCAAGGTAGTGGACCTCAGAAATTTGAGTAATTATGTCAGTTTAACATATCAGTGTAAAAAGAACATTACACCCACAAGAGCAAAGCTAGAAAGGTATCAACACAGCAAAATGCAGAGACCTGATTACATTTTGAGAATGCCATCTAGTGGTTAAGTCTTGTGCAAAGCAGGTTTCATTTTAACAAACTTCTAATTGGTTAAAGTGTGAACCTTAATGTACAATGAGATCATAAAGCGACTCTTCACACAATCAGGCCATGCTGGCTTTCACACAAAAAAGTTTAAACAAAGTCAGAGATCAATTTTCTATCAGTTTTGGAGGTAGCAGGGATAGCACTCTCATCAGTAACCTACAGTTGCCTTGTGTGTCAAATATAGCATGTTTTAACTATCTGTAGGATTAGAGGTTTAAAACCTACCTCAGTCTTAATAGTAATTACATTTATCTCTAAAGGTATAATCATCTCTACTATCACACAGAAAGAGATGAGGGTCTAGACACTGGTTGTTAGAACAGTTCACAATTTCTACAAGGACACAGGACAGATGTAACTATAAATTAAGTTTTTCCATATACAGAAAAAAGAATGTCACTCCTATGTAAAGAACTTTTATCTTCAGACAGAATACTACTAGTAACACTGCTCCTTCTGATGTACAGAAGCTCAAACCCCTGCTGCTATGATAGGGTATAATCCTGAAACAGGAAACCCCTCTACTCTGTGGATGTACCTGTCCCCCCAACTTAGCAGTCAGTTCCATCTAAAAGCATACTATGGACAGTCTTAATTTTTCTGGAATATCAGCAGCTTTTTTTTCCCCCCAATTATTTCTTTAGTCTGCCTGTGAAGCTTACCCAAGATCATCACTATATACAGGTTTATTATGACGACTTTGGCAGTAGTGCGGCATTGCACAATATGCCTATGGCTATTTAAGTTTTAATCTCTTGAATGCCTATTCCCACCCCCATATTGCAGGACTCTGCAGCCTGTTTACCGATTCAAAAAAGTGAATGGGAAGAGCTTGACCTCTTTCAGTGAAATACTACACAAAAAATTCTTCAAAACTTGCAGGAAAGTAAGGAATTTTTTAAAATAGTTTTACCCTTGTGCTGCTGTGACACTGACTGTTTCATTACAAGTCTGACGCCAGCACTGTTCACCATTACCACCCAAGAATCGGGTTTTTTCTGAAGCCAAAACTTCTGAAAGCTGAAGTCTCGCTACCCCAAGTAGTAAGTCTTTAGCTGTTTTATCCTTGTGCCACATTTCAACCAGCAGAGGTAATCTGAAAACAAGCAGTGATTTTAGTGTCAGGCATCAACAACACAAAAGAGGAAGCATTCCTATTCATTTGGGAAAAGGATTTCATGTTCTAAAAGTACTTCCCAAATCAGTGACTAATCACAATTGTCAAACAATGATAGGTGTTTACTGCCTCTCACTCTCAGAGAAATGAGACTAACTTTGTGTCTTCTCCATCACTTACTCACTTCGGTCAGATTATTTGCTCCAATTATTAGAAAGAACAATGCTGCCGTAAAAGAGATTGACTAAATAATCTTAACAGTCCTAGATCATCTTCATTTATAAATACCTGTAAATAAATTTAAGTAACTGCCACTCAGAATAAATCCCTCTCCACTTCTTCCAAAATACCACTATTCTTTATTCCACATCCTAATCAGCTACCAAAAGCTGGTGGGACTACTGGGGAAATTTTGCCACAGCCCTCAAGACTGTACTCAGCTTCCTAGATACTTACTGTATTTTCAAAGATATCAGAGAGTCATTGTGTATTAAAAAGAAAAATAAAAAAAACTTACCTATTTCATTTGAAGTAATGCTGTATTAAAACTATGCTAGCAACCTTTAATTTAACAACTTACAGCAACAGTAGTTGTTCCTGTAAGCAATGATCCCCGCACTCAAGAGATAAAAGCAAGAATTTGTGAACATTGACTTTAAAAGTAAGTAGCAGAGAAACTGGAAGAGTGGTGTATTAAATATTCGTTGACATTAGCACTTGGATTCTTTATTAAATTCTCAAACTGACCATCTTAAGTAAAAAATTTAAACTTGTGACAACAAAAAATAGAAAAAGTGTAATTAAGAAGAATGCAAGTTATCACCTGAAGAATGTATCTTGAAGCTGATGAGGTATAGTTGCAAAGTCAAATGCACAGTAGGACTGTGGAAGAAAGACTTCCATGTTCTTTCTGATTTCTACAGGTGGGCTTGTCATAATAGGTGCTGCACTGCCAAAAAATGGATACGAGTACCTAGTAAAAACAGTAAAAAAACCATTCACTTCCACATGGATCCAGCTTCATTGATATTTGCTGTTATTTTGACAAATAAGCTCTAATAACCTGTATGTTCACAACTATATGAATTAACCTTTTATTAAGTTTATGCAATTATTACATAATGTGAGGAGAGATACAGAAGAAAGGCGTATTATATTCATATGTAGGCTGCTACTTGTGAACATTTATAACTATTTACAGCTAAGACTGGTCTAACATAATAATTGACAACTAAGTATACATATAAACAGTGTCAGAACCATTTGAAAAATTCAGTCACATTTGAAGAATTTAGTGTTTAATTCCCACAGTTTAATTCACTAAAAGGAAATTCTAATCATTTTACCAATATGATTTACAATGTGGCCTGAAACTACTCTACTGGCACAATTCAGTATACGACAAGCTACACGAAAAGGGAGGCCAGGAACCTTTTGAAGTTTGCTATGCTCAAATTGATGGTGCCAGCTATCAGCTAACTTACCAATAAAATAAATGCTGTCACGTACAAAATTCCGTACTTTGCCTGTTTGTGCAGAACTGTTTAAAGAGCTTGTTTAAACCTGAATGAAATAATGCTTGCAATATACAGTGAAAATGCAATTTTTTTACCCTGCAACTGTTCTTAGTGTTTATGTGTTTGGATGTTTCTCCTCTTCAGTTTCTTGCCATATGCATCACTGACTGTAAAAACTGAAGTGCATGAAATGGCAAACCCTATTTGTTGTCACTGTTCTGAAACAAATTAATTCTTTGGATGTCATTTGAAAAAGCTTTTATGTGACAAAATTCCACTCATTGTATGTTGTTTTCTACATACTATTTAATAACACAGCCTATACAGAAAACCATTACAATCTATATCAGTTGTGTCTTAAAGTATCCCACCCCTCCACCCCAACCCCATCTTTTCACCCTAGTTCAAACAAAGCTTAAACTAAGAATCATAAACGCAAATAGACTTTCCAGTTAAAAATGTATTGAACCAAACCTCTGTCAGAACAAAGCAAATGCAGATGCACCTCCAGAGCCACAAATATTCAGCCCTCTCAAATGAAATACCATTTAAAGATACACTTCACATGCACTTCATATTCCCATTAGGGCCCTAATGGAAAATAGAAGGCAAACTAAAAACTGCTATGAACCACTGAATTCATGTATGCCATCAATAACTAATACGCCATGAGTAGGAATTTTTAAACAACAAAATCATCCCTGTATCTACAAACCCTTGATCTTAAACTCTACAGAAAGCCTAAAACAAAACAAACAAGTTGATAAAAGAAAGTTTGTCTTCACTGGCCAAACCCCAACCTGCATACAGATACAGGATTCAATACCCTTACCTTTAATCAGTTCTTCACATTTTTAGTTCTTATTCCTCCAACTCGGCATTTACCTCCCAGATAACACCTGCTTATTCTCCAAAGTGTTCCCACACTTTTCTTTCATATTGACATCAGTAACAAACTAATCTCTAAACAATTGTTCCATACTAGCACTGGTAGTTTCTGACTTTTGCTTCAGGTACACAACTTATGTATCCAAAAAAGCTCATCTTTTTTGTAATTCCACAAATTAGTGTAGTAAGAGATGCTACTTCTCCCTACTAAGCTTTGCTTCTTGTATGCAAAGGCTACCAAAAACCCCTGATACCACCTCTCAGAATGATACTGCATTTACTACACCGGCTCTGCACTTTAAGACTAGAATGTGCTTCCTTTACATTCACTGTCACACACAAACCAGGTGATCTTTCCCTTGCTGAAAACTGAGGGGTTCTTGGAGGAGACATGGAAAGCTACAGAAATCACTTCTTTGATCAGCTGGAAAGGCAGCCAGAAAGCAAGGAGACAAGTAATTCTCCCTTTTCTCAAAGGACTGAATGATGAGATATATTGCCTGAGCTCAGATATTCAAGTGAGATTTAACACAAATTACAATGCAGGTGAAGTGTTACACGCTGTCTTTAATGGTATAATGCTCAGAAGTTCAGCAATGAGCCAGATGACTATTTCAAAGTATTTTGTACTAAAAATCAGCTATGTAAAGGTGAAAGGCATCGGGCAGCATACTGCCAGCAATCATTCAGATTATGAAGGCTCTGTACTAAAGTGAAAGATATTGTTATTACCAAGAATAAGACCAACAAAAATAAATTGTACCTTAAAATGCAATTTATTGGAAAACCAACTTCTAGAGCACGTATGCTTCGTAAGTCTATTGAAAAGCAAAAATGGTGAGAGGCTGCTGGAATGACAATTTTCTGTGCTGACACAGGCTCAGAAGAACTGGATGCACCCACAGGGTTGGGCTGAGACATAGCTACTGGACCATTATCAGCTGAAAACAGAAGAGAATGTGAACATTTTTAATAACTTGTTCTGCCCAAAATAACAGAATACATTAAAGATAAGTCTCACATTTTAAATGTAAGTACAGATACGCTGCTTCCCCAAGAGATTTCAATTCCTTCTAATATAAGCCAATACTATTAAAAAGTCATTCTATTTGTAAGTTACTGCTTCCAAAAAACATAATGTACTTGAAAACTTCCTAAAAGATTCTGTAACATTTTTCCTTATTAATCTTGAAAGCTATGTAAGTTCATCTTGCTGAAGAAAAGTTTACACTAAGATCCAAGATGTTAAATTCTTCAGAGGGATGCTACAGGACTTCAGTTTCAAAAAGTTACATTATTGTCCTTGCCAACTTGAGGGCATGCAGAAGAGGTGTGCTTACAAAAAAAAAAAAGAATCATTTGTAGTAACTCAGTCTGCTTTTAATTAACCTCTTTAGTTTGGGACTGAAAAAGACAGAGCACCAGGTAAATTACAGTGCTCATGTAAGGCCACACTATTGGTCCCAAGCTAAGGTTTAACTATTGAAACAAACTAAAATGCTCTCGCTAGGTCTGTAAAGCACATCTGCTTATGCCCTTTGACGAGAACTCACCTACTGTGACACCATTTTATAATTTCAGAAGCAGAAGCTACAGTGAGTGCCTGTCCATCTACATCCCAGGCACTGGAACCCAATACTGCCTTCAAAGAGTAAAAGGTCAAACTACAGCTTTCACAGACATGGCCTCCAAAAGGTAACCTCCAAAAATATTTAAGATAGTGAAGCAGAGAAAGAGGCAAAGAAACTCTTAGAGAAGAGCTCAACTGCCTTTTGTAAGTTCTAGGTGTTGTGATCCTCCTTCATAATTATCTAAAATGTTTCCATTTTTGTCATTTTTAAATAAATACATCATTGTTAGCATTGACTTTATTTTTTCCTGCTTGTTTTTGAGTGTTTTATTTGCACTAACAGTAACTAGACTAAAGAGAAAAATTCAGTAATACTTCAACACCAGTTAGTTAGCACAACATAGGAATGAAATCATTTTCAGTGATTCAGGTAAAGTGTCACTAGATTGCTTGGTGCAATGAAATGGCTGAATAGAAGTTTAAGGCTGTCACAGACAGGAGAACAAAATTTGCATACAGCCTACTTCAAATTTCAGATATAGTAGCAACTATATGAATTTAAAACATATTAAATTCGGTAAATTTTGCATTACTGGAATTTTGCTGATCTGACAATAGAGGTGACTTTGGTCTGCTCTGCAATTTGAAAGCTGGAAGCTCTTCAGTATACTGTTTGTTATCCTCTTGGCAAGACTCAGCCACCAGCCCTGAAAGGTAAGTGTGAAATGACATGTTTTACAGCTTACCAAAAGGGAGTTATAAATTTATTATTACTATTAGTAAAAAAGCACAATCCTGGATTTCTTAACTGCAGATTCAAACTAGCTGCTGGGTTCACGTTACTTCTTGATACATTCCATACAAAGGACTTAATCCTTGCTTAGATAAGATCAGTTAGGATTAAAAGAAAATTTGGATGAATTAGTAGACAAATCCTGAGTGCATGTTCTAGGACATAGATTTTCCTCTACAGAACTGTGTGTTTTCAGGACCAACCTCAAAAGAACAGTAATACAAATATCATTAGAAAAAAATTATTTGGCTTTAATTCATTAATCATCTCTTAAGATGAATGTTCAGTAACGTTCAGTAAACTAAATTCTTCTGAGCTTCACTCTGTCATAGTACTTCCCATCTCATCTCTGTTCCTCTTTGACTTCTCCCCAAAGCAGTCTTCAAACCAAAACAAGTTAAGCCTTAGAAGGCTATGTGAGCTACCAAGTTCCTACAAACAACAACGTACAAACAAACCAACCAATCAGTGGTACAGACTGCTGGACAAAACCAAGCAAGTACAAGTGTTCGTTTTCACAATTTATTATCCAAACAGTAAATTCCTTCAAAATCTTAAAAATATTACATTTTCCCTGCCTTTCTATTTAGTAAGTGTGAATATTAGACCACTTCATCTCCTCATTGAGGAAGTCTGTTTCTTCATGGGTATTGTACTGAACCTTCCCATTCCCAAATCCAGGGAATTCCAAACATTTCTGGTATTTTTCAAGCTGATGACCATAAACTTCACTTGTAATCTACACACCACCAAACCTCCAGTCTGGCTCTTCCAAGTGTTTTCAAGAACCACCACATTCAAATTACAACATGTATTCTCCTCCTGTTATTTATGTAAATAATTCTTACTTGCCTGAAATTTATCACCACAAACGATTACTACATGATCCAAGATCACATTTGACAACTGCAGAAAAAAAATTCTACACCACATACCCTTTTTCTTTAGTTTCATGCCTTTTTCAATCTTAAGACTTTCCACTTCACCTTCTGTTGCCTCATCTTCTGTTGAAGAAGTGTGGTCAGCTTGAGATGGGACATTCTGGGATCTCTGTTGCAGGCCCTCTGTTTTTCCAGTATCAGGTGAAAGAACTTTCTCCTGTGGCTCTTTAGGTTCAGTTGGAGCATTTAAAGGAATCACAGGCTGAATGAAGTGATAAAGTTTTCTTATTGACCATGGCTTGCACTGAAAAATTCTATCTACAACAAGTTTGAGACTGTTTTTCTGACATAGAAAAATGAAGCAGTGAACAGATTATTCATATAAAGGAACTTATTCTTTCAGGTTTTTTTATATACTTAACCACCAAATATGACTTAGAAATACCAATTTTAACACAAAACTCTGCAACAGTGTCTAAATCAACAGTAACGGAGTATGCTATACCTGGACACTCAAGCTCTCCCTTTGCAGAATTACAGATACGCCAACAGTAGGAGCCATATCCAGAGGCAACTGCGGCAGTTTTTGTTTAGCTCTATTTGGTGGAACAAGGACAAATGCTCCTTCTGTTGCCACAGGGTATTGATCAATGTCCACATTTCCATTCTTCAGTAGTCCAGACAGGGGTATTTCAGTGCTTCCAAGAGACTGGTCCCCACAGCAAAGATGGATCTATGCACATACAAAAGTTCCAGAAAGTAACTGGCACATGTATTTCCTCCTGAACCACCTGTTCACACTCTACTAAAGGTAGTATAAATACAACAAATTAAAATAATCATCCCTAGTCTAGTCCCTGTACACTGAGAACAAGCATTTTGAGTAGTATAAGAACAGCTAAGAAGTTCCAGTATTGAGCAGGTAGGATTTGCCCAGTGCTATCACAGAAGCACATCAGTGGACTGCTCTTCTAAGGACCTGCCATACCATCCCTTCTGAAGGACAAATTCAATAGTCTGTGGCTTCTAAACACAGCACAGATTCTTGCCCTTATTGTATAGGCATATAGAAAGCTTGACTGCAAGGTGAAATAAAAGTTATTTGAAAGCTCAGCCTTCATGGATATATTTAGACACCACTTCAATAGCAAGGATTTTTGGAATTAAGTAACTGTTCTTAATTCCTGGTAAGAATCATTATTCCTTTTTCAAAACGTGACTCAACTCTTTCTTGCTTCCACAGCTTAATGTGTATACACACCTAAGTAAAAAATGGATCTTAAAAAAAGCCCACACACTCTAAGGTAATTTATTTTCCTCAGTGACTGTTACTCTCTGAAATTTAAATACCAACTTGCTCTTTCCCAAGTGAGAGTCACTTCAGTTCTGTTTTAGCAGGCCAGAAGACTATTCTGATCCTTATGACACTTAATGAAGTCTTTAATGCTAAAAGGTGTCAGCTGCCAATAAACACACCTAGGTATGTATATGCAAGTACATACACACAAACGCAACCACACATAGGATATATCTACACACACAGAATCCCTAGTCTGCCAGCTAGCACCTCTTACCACTAAAGTCTTCATTTTTGGAAAAAATATACCAAATATTAAGGATGAGAATACAGTGCTCTGACTATTATCCTAAGTTTTAAGAAGCTCAGTGAGAAGTCAGAGAAAGAAAACCATAAATCAAGATGTGGATCTGACTTCATGACAGCTCTTGTTCAAAAAGTCATTCTTCAACATGACAAAAACATACATACTTTTGTGTACATGTACATATATATTTAATATACGCTATATTAAATACCTTAAGACCATAGATTAAAATTAAATTCCAAACACATCAGTGCATGTTTCTCCAAAAGCTGTCATTAGTAAAATATTTAAAATTAAAGAAACCTGAAACAAAGATTTGAACAGAAACATTCTTAAACTAACCTGGATAACAAACTAGAACACTCTGTACAAGTTTAAAGAAAAATAACTCTAAAAGGGTCCACATCTAAGCCTTCATCTGTATAACTAACTCATTTTTTACCAGATACATTACTAGAAATCCTATAGTACTCTCAACCAAATAGTCTCTTGTTTCGTAAGGAGTTAAGTGTAAGCCAGACAGACTGCCACGAACACTTTCAATACTACCCAATATTTAGAATCACAGAATCACTTAGGTTGGAACAGACCCTTAAGATCATTGAGTCCAACCATAAACCTACCACTGCCAACTCCACCACTAAGCCATGTCCTCCATTTACAGGCATAGCTAAAGGATAAGCAATATCCCGTAACAACCCAAATATGGTTGTAGTGTATTCAAATAGTGGCTAAGGAGTGGGGAAAAAAAGCCAGACCTCCCTTATTATTCGCAAAGAGTGCTGAGGACAGGGATTCTAGAACTTAGGCAAGAGCAACTGGAGCAGCTGGTGCAGGTGAGGTTAACACAGGTGGAATAAGGCAAGAGTCTGGGTTGCAGACAACCTGATTGCAGAGCAGGTCTCCGAGCTCGTAAGAATGCCACACGAGCTCTTTGGGAATATCATGTTTCAGCAATATCTTTTACCACAGCGTTTAACCCAGCTTACTATAGCAACCACACTAAAGAGACTGCACTCCATCTGAGCTGGGAAACCTGCTGCTAGACTTTCCCCTCCCATCAGCTTATATTTGAGCCAAGTGTCACATAACCTAGTTTGGAAAGAGAAATGCTTTCCAGTTTCAGCCTGAGCCATATTCTATTTCTCTTTTCATTATTTATTTTGATTCACATTTGAGAAGAAACAGCTTACCTGCAATTTTGACTGTGCACAAAGATAAACTTGAAGGACATCAGCTGTACTACGTATTCGAACTGAAGCTCTTTCTGGCTCAAAGTTTGGATTAATTAAATCAGTGAAAGGTTCATTTGCGATATCATTTCCCAGTAATGAGTAGTAGAAAAAAAACTTGGGCTGTCGTTCAGGAAGCTTCATAGTACTAGGCACTAACTAAAAAAATGCAGAAAAGAAGAATGCATCTCATTAATGTACAGTTACAGTAATCCTTAAGCATTAGTTTGGAAATTAAAGAGCTTAAATTGATCTCAAACTACCAAGCAGCTGACCTAAATCCTAGCTTGCACTAAACATAAAATAAAAAACTTATATTAATACTCAAACTGAATGAAAAAAAATCTTACTTTACAAGCACACCAATAACTTGCAAAATGACCCATTTTGAATTACCTCTAAGATTTATCAGCACCAATGCCTGTAACTAACATTATATATTCAAAAATGTCAAGCACTGCACAAATATTCAGAAATAAGTGCCTCCACAAAATATTTATAGTGTAAATAAACAATGCATTAGATACTGAGTTATTATATAACTTATGTGATTGAATAGAAGACTGGAACAGCCAGAAAGCTATTTCATCCTGTAGCCATTTCAACTGCAAGTTCAATGCCTAAAAAGGCACAACCTGCCCCAGAGTGATCACAGTTAAGTTTACTTCACAAAGCCCTGTAATTCTGACATGGAAGACTATTCTCTGAAAAAAGATGACAAGACTGAGGAGAGTTTCATACACTATGAATTACAGATTAAAAATCACACTGGCTTGGAGTCGTGACTTTCACAGTAACTTGGTCATACCTATATTTTTAAAATCAGACAATATGTATCAGCATGGTACAGTACAGCATAAACACAGTAGCTAAGGTCTAAAGCTGAAATAATCACATTAGCACAGCATTTCATCCAAGCTAGTAATTCCTTCCCTTAGGCAACATATAAACTACTGCTTCATATATCTTATGGATCTGAAAGGTATATCATCTTGTTTGAACTTCAGCACATGGGCACCATACTGAAAACTGATACTATCCATACACATATTTTATACTATATTGTAATATAAATGTATGCATTTCATAAGAGTGCATTATTTAAAGTAAACATAGTTTTAGTGTTCCAAAATAATTCTGATCTTTCATCTGCAATTTGACATGTAAACACTACATAAAGTTTTAAAATTCAGATTAATGTACATTAATTCAATATGGGACAAGGCTATTTACTACAAGAAACTTACAAGACAATAAAAAATCCTAACTAGAAATAAGGCATAATAGGAAGAAAATACAAACATAGGATAGTGCTTCTTAAGAACTACACATAGCAAGGAAACAAACCTGCTCCAACTGTGTGGCAAACGCAATGGTTACAGACAAGACAAAGTAGTCTCTGCAATACTCTACTGGTCCAATTTGATGATAGCCCTCTTCTTCATTCAAGACTGGTACAATACTCTTAGGGTCTAGACCAGAAAGAAGGGCAGATGCTAAGAGAGAAGAAAAAAAACAAACAAACTTGTGACCTTATTCATTGCTGCAGGAATCATATATAACTGTAATTTTACCTTTACTTATTGTATGGGTGGAAAGAAAAATTGCAAATCAAGACCTTGATGCTGGGTTCCAAAGCATTTCAACACAGAAAGAGTCCCTAAGTATACTTATGTATAGCTACAAAAAATTTCTGAAATTATTTTCTATTCAGTAGGCACAGACGTTATTTTGAACACTATGGTAGACAGAATGCTAGTGCATATTTTTATTTAATGTTACAATGAGCCACATGACAGTGACCGCAACTTTATTTCATTACATTAAAGAAACAGCATGGTAGATCCTCATTAACTCATTAAAGGAAATCCAAGAGTAACTGCATATGACAACCTGTTCAACTGTTGGAAGTATGACGTCTCATTCCACAGACCTTTGAAATGTTTCATTTAAAGATTTTTTCATCTGGAGTCTTCAGTGCATAAAACACTGTTCTGGTTTACTAATTTCTACCCTACAGTGCCAGTAATTCAATATATTTCAAAGCACCTCAGATTACATCAGATAGTAATAATCACCCAGCACTTTTGGTTGTGAAACAAAAGGCTCCATTTCAAACACTGGAAACTTTAGACCACTTCAGTCAGTGAAGTAAAAAAAAAACCAACCCAAAGTGTATGAATCCTAAAAGGAAAACATCACCTTAACTATCTGACTAGACCGGACCTGCGTAGTTTAGCTTTGTCATACCAAATGCTTTCAACATTAATTTTAAATCTGAAAATCTACACATTTGCTTTCCTCCATTGTCTAAATATGGTATGGACTACTATTGACAAGACAGAAGAAAGGGAAAAGCTGGAAAATTTGTTTGTATCCATTATTCTACAGAAAGCATTGAGTGGAAGACAGTCTTGGGTGAAGGCAGAAGGGATTTCTTCTATTTTCTGCCAGTGTCATGAGGGTAGGAGAGCTTGCAGGCAGAAAGACCACAAGGGAAGCACAGATTAATAAATAATTTACAGTAGCTCCTTGTCTCCTTTATAGTATGCAAAATTCCTTGTTCTTTGTTGTGAACTTGAAAAGATGGAGTAAGCTAAATGATTACACTGGAATTTAAATACTGCCTTAACCAGTAGTCTTGCATGACAGACAAGTCAAAGCCAGGTCCAGAAACCTTGTAAAACACTTACTGACACTGACCACTTTGTTTTCACACAACCACAGCCACAGATCATGATAAGCAGATGATGAATTTAAAGTTAAGAAAAAGTTACCCTCAAGGCAAGAACACAAAGTACGGCAAGGTAAACAGTAGAAAATCCACTAGTTCTAACAGAGGCTCAGTTTTTAGAAAGGAAGTAGATAGGCTATTGGGTGGGGAATGATGGCGGAGGTAAACCTGGTTTTGCTTTGGGGGTCTTAGGTTTTTTTTAATCAAGTTTCTAAGGGTTTGTTTGGGTTTTTGTTGTTTGGGTGGGGTTTTAAGTACTAACTTGCATTAAAAAAATCCCAGATTAAAAAAAGACTTAAAGACAGACACCTACTAGCGTTAACATTTGAGTTCTAGTAGATTTTTGACACATTTCACTAATTATTTAACAGGAATATACAAGGGAATCCAGAAGTGGAATGTGTCCCAACAGCTAATTTCAAGTAGATGCCACTACAGAAACTTATCAATAGAACATAATTTAAGTAACAAACAATTTAGATTAGATGAAAAGACCATCAGAAAAGAGAAGCAGGATACCCAACCAACGAAATATTGCACTACTTTATAATTCCAAGCCCAAACTACTGAAACTGCATTCTAAGATCCTTTCTTACTTCTTTCATTACAGAATTTTCTAAAGCCCTGAAATATGAGTAAAATGCCCATAGGAGTAAGTCACAGAAGACTGTGATTCTAATTTTAAAGATTAGTTGGTCTGCAATTTTGTCCACCTGAAAGCCACACAATTACCACAGTAAGGCATCCTTGTAAAGTTATTACCACAAAGTACATGAATCCACTACAAAGGATTTGTACTGGAAGTGCTGTGAAATTAAAATTCTCTTGAGACTTAAACACATTTGCAACAACTGATATGTTCATCTGGCACAGGAATGTTTTTGAATCAAAGTGAGTGATATCATTACGTTACTTACCTTTCCCTTCTCTAGGGGGTGCCTCCTTTGCTTTAAAGCCATCAATCAGTGCTTTTGAATCAGTCTCCAACACAACACCTACTTGTATTTCAGGTTTAAACTTAGTGTACTTGTTGCTAAGCAGAGGATACCATTTTGGTGCCTACATAATTAAAAGCCAAAAGCATTTAAAAACCAGGAAAATGTAATGTTACAGAAGAATTAGACTTGCTCTAGCATTTCTACTTCATCATCTAGAAAAACACACCTTGGGTTTTATTTCCAAAAATCTATCTACTTTGAGTACACCATTATACTAAAAGATTCTGTAGAATGGTTCCTGGAAGACTAGCTAAACATACTCTTTTCCACTGATTTGTACAGTAAAGAAGTTAGCAAGAAAACTGAGCCATAAATCTTGAGGATTTTATTTTCTAATTAAAGTTCTCAACTGAAAGTGCACAGTAAATTATATGGACCAAAAATCCTTAAGAAGTGGGAGGCCAAAATAAGACACCGGGGTCCTGTTACGACTCATATCAGAGTCATTTTTTGATCAAGCATAACAGAATTTGATTAAATTTAAACAATTACATTTACTCTATGCTGTGTTAAGGGGCTAGAATTTCTGATCACTTAGTACACCTTACACAGAGGCCCATTAAAAAACTTACGACTTGATTTGATGATGGAGACTCAATTCAATTGCTCAGCATCAGTTGCTTTGATAAATTTTACCAGGTGATTAAGTCATAGAATTGATTAAAGGTATTGCTTACAATTGTTCCAATTCTTAATTCAGAAGTGCGAATTAGTACAAAAGTATTTTCATTTCCTCATATTCTTATATAGACACAAGATGCCTCTCCCCCCTAAAAAAATACCCGATCAACTAGGAGTCATACTCCAACACAAGACTATTTGTAACAGTACCACTGTTAAAAATAATTTTTAAAGCTTTATACCCCATAACACACCTGTTTTTTTTCCTGCACAGCCCGTAAATCAAGTACAATATAGCCTATATTCTCTTTAGCTGAAGATAGGGGATCCAATGCAAAACACTGGAGTTTGATAGGCGTACGCTGCAGCCTGAAAGAACAACTCAGTTGAAATCCAAAAAGTAAAAGTTACCTCTGTAATTAGTTCACAAAAATAATTCATAAGTTTCAAGCATACCAACGATACAATATTTGTTACATAACTAGTTTCAGTAGGTCAGAAACTGAGTTCGTATTGAATATCTGAAAATTCACCATTAAGTGACAGAACAAACGGGTGGATCAATTTTGTAAAAGGAGTGTTCTGGAGTCTCACAGAGCCTCAAGTGCTACTAAAAATATGTTAATAACAAATAAATTCAATCTCAACCACGAGAAGTAGTAAGCACTGCACTTCACATGAAATTGGAATTTCACTTGTAAGGGTATCTTAAAAATATCACATGCAAAAGATTTTTGTGCAAAGCACCTATCAATACTTAGAGGCATTTGATAAGGTGTCTAGCATAAGGTACATTTAGGTGTTTTTCTCTTGTCAAACAAAGATAACATGGCCTTTTTAACATCTTTGAAAATATGGAGGTAATATTATAATCTGACATTCAAACCAAATGACAGTTATGGAAAACTTACTCAATGTCTCTGCTCTTCTATTTGACATTTTCAAAAATATTTTATTTAGGCTTTTCAGGCTTGAAATTAAGTCAATACTGTGTCACAATACACGTAAGAAAGCTTGAATCCAATGGCTGAACTATAGCATTATTAATTTGCCCTAAGAGCTCACTTTTTTTTGTTAAAACATGTAAAAACATATCCTTCAGAATTTTCAAACATCACTTACCTTGACACATACTACTTTTGTTTGTTGTGGCAACATTATGGTAGATCAGCATACAGTTAAAAGAAAGTTTCTAAAAAAACCCTCAGCTGATAGCAATACAAAAATTCTATTTTGGTAGCTGTAAAGACAAGAAAATTAGATTTTCTCTCCAAATTAGACTTAATATTCTAATGTTACCTGTGCTGATGAAGCGCTTTCCTATCAAGTTCCCAAGCCAATTCCGTAGCAAATTCAGGCTGATCACTATGCTCTATGGGATCAGTAGCCAACAGTTCACCATCAAACTTCACTTCAACTACAAGCACATGCTTGGGTCGTTTTGGAAAATAGCGCCCTGTAAAAGAGTATAACTGCCATGTGCCAACACTAAAAAAGTAGTGAGAGCCCAGATTTATGCCATAAACCAATTGCATAAAGATACATTTCCCATACCATCTTCCCTGCGCTTACTCTAAAGCTATGTTCTTCATATTAAACAAATGTCTTCCCCTTATGCATGCATAAGAAAGAAGAACATAAACATGAAACAGACTATTTGTGAAGAACCCAGAAATAGCGAGACATTAAGTAAGAAAGAACAAAGAAAGAAAGAAACCAGGTAACTAATATGATTTAATTTTGAGGAATCTGTGATTGTTAATAGAGCATGTGAACAGGTGAGAGACACAGATAGAACGTTTTGCCTCTACTGCAGATTTTATCACTGTCCTACTTCAAAGCATGACCTAGTGAAAGCAGTGAAAGATGTTTTTCCAACTACTTCTTGTTGGAAAAAAACACTATTAGATTAGGAAAGTGCCTAAAGTTGTACAGGATTTGTCCTGGGTTCAGCATCATCCTGTATACTGATTAATAATTTAAATGACAAAATTAAGTGAACACTTAAATTTATATGTATCACAGTGTGGACAGGGGCTACATGCATGCTGGAGGACAGAATCTTATTCTAAAGCTACCTCGGCAGAGTATATAAATGGACAAACAGACCATAGGGTTTACTTGACAAAGAGAAAACATTCAGCCAAAAAACCTCCAAACAACCCAAAACAGAAAAAAGCCACACAAACAAACAGAAACCCCACACTCACACACTAATTACACCTCAGTAAGTATAATCTGTAAAAGTACAAGATGACAAATGATTAGCCAGGTATTCACGTCAACACTACAAAAAAAAAAGCTTACAGTAGATTGCTAATAGGCAATAGAAAGACCAGAATACTACTAAAAAGAGGGAGGGGCAGACACATAAACGATCCTGGTCACCGTAAGACATTGGCTGGACCCCAATGGTTCGGTTCAAAGCTTTCTTGAGAAAAAAAAAAAAAGCTGAAAAGGCCCCACGGCCAGCCAGCGAGAACTGAGCCTCCCCAGCCCGTAAGGAAGGGCCAGCGGCGCTACTGTCTGTCGCTGGGGCAGGGCTCCCTCTGCCTACACACAGGCTTGACTCGG